TAACTGAATGAGTTATTATACTGGCTTATTTGCACCGTCTAAGCAAAATTTTGGTCTGGCTTTGTCCTATCAAAAGTTTTCATCTACCATTTGCCAAAGTTTCAACCCTGTATGTCAAATAGTTGCCAAGAAATTGACCAAAACGCGAAAAAAATTGTCCTTTTGCTCGTCCAAAACAAAAAAATTGCATCTTCTGTGTCCCGTGGCTGTAGTTGTTAAAAACAAACTAATTAGAAACAAAATAATGTATCGATGATCTGGATGTTAATTGTGTACCCCTTGACTACGAGGGGAGTTTAGGGTTCCGGTTGTATGAATATTGCAGCCAAAGGAGCAGCAATTTTTGATAATTTTCGTAAAGAGGTAAACTCCGGTTCCTCGATGCCTTACTATCTATCTAGAAATTTTATCTTAACACCATGAACAACTTTTTTTTCTCGCGTTTTTGTCATTTTCTTTGTAACTATTTGAGATACAGGGTTGAAATTTTGTCAAAAGTTAGATGAAAACATTTGGAAGGACCAAAGTATTTTTCACAAGGTGTATATTAGCCAGTATAATATAATTATTTTTAAATGTGTTCTTGCTGTGGAAACATTTTCTCACCCAGCATAAGAAAATTATGGGCTCAAATTGTTTTTTTTTTGGGAAACTGCGTTACCAATCTGAGATGAAGGGTTCAATCGAAAGAACCGGTTGCGAGCATGTTTTCTGCAGAAGCGGCAACTCCTTAATTTTTTTGTAGGAAAAATTTTGTTTTTATGAAGCTTCCAATTTCTCAAAAATTTCAATCTTTTTATTTCAAGGTTTTGAGCTAATTCAAACTTTTGAAATTGGCCATTTCATTCTCCATCGTTATAAGAAACTTTTTAAGTGTCAGACATATATCTTCAGCTTTGGATGGCCCCTAGTTATCTTTTCTCGAGACGAAAACAATTGGTCTTTTATTCGACAAAAATAAATTGTGCCTTTTGGTACGAAAAATTTAGTTCACCTAATTTTTGGTTCAATTTGTTTCTTTAAAAGTTTGTATTGCATCTCAAGTGGTGCGAAGATCCGCTTCGCTTCTAAGAACCATTCGCAGTGATTTGGCACCGACAGCAGTGATACCGTGGCTACCCTGCAGTACAAATGCTACCTGCAGTTAGCTTAGGCGTTTTTCAATTCCTGCAAGTCAAATTACATTATATTTAAGATGGAGGCAAAACCGAGCTTCGCGCTGCTTAAAATTCAAAACTGTGAAGTTGTGATCCGCGTTGTCAAGTTATAAAAAGCTGCTATAAATGATATCGAATCAGTTTGAAAATAAAATTTCTTTTCATTAAGTGTCAATGAACGTAGTAAAGACACTTAAGTTATTTAAAATGGTTTTCTTCGACCATTTTTGTTTCGACCATTGAAATTAGGGAGAGGAGTGGTTTGAATATTTTAGTATACGAAAGGTTCAGTTTTTCTATTTTTCACGTAAAATCAGGTACCGCAAACATCATTGCAATGGGTTGAGTCATATATCATATTTTTACACTTGCGAAGCAAAGTGTATTACTACAAACTTGCTTTTTTTCAACCTAATTTGCAAATAAAAGTGCTAATTTTGGTGGAACTTTTGAATCGGTAGGTTGTGGCAGCAGTAAAATATCATGTGCTTTGACATTTGATTAGTAAAAAACTAAAAACATGCATTTTTTTTAATTCATCAAAAGAACCAAAAAAAGTTATTTGTTTCAAATTGCAGAACAATGGTTAAGAGCTCTATTTCAAGAAGTTTCCAATTCAGTGTATCGCAATTTTTTGAAATGCATAATTTATACATATTTTGGCTCTGCGCTTTTCAATTTATTACATGCTAAATTGTGTCTTTTCGTATTTGGTGCTACTTTTGCTGTATCGTATTAGCATATGTAGCTGCGTTATTGGTGGCTAGTTTTGTGGATTTCAAGCATCCGTGGTCGAGTGGTTAGTGCGTGAGACTTAAATTTGCCAAGTCGCAGATTCGAACCCAAAACGTAACCAAATTTTTCCTATTTCGAGGATTAATTTTATTTTTTTCTCATTTCAGCTGTTCTTATTTGATGCAGCTTTTTTGGCCGTGTTCTCGCAAGCGTTTGCGAAGCGCAGTTTCGCATCAGTGTTTAAATTTTTCAGTCAAGAGTTGAAACATTTTTTTAAATTTTCAAAAGTAGTCAAAGTTTTGAATAAAACCGGTTTGAATTTTTTGATTTTTGGTCTTAATTTGAGGAAAAAATAAAGCGAGCCTACTTATTAGTTTTTCACGCAAAATCAGGAAGGACAAACCAGTATCGGATTGAATTTTGTGTTATATTACATTTTATTATTTTCAGTCGTTATTCGAATGACATCATAGAAGTTTCTAAATGTTATCCCAGTGTCGAAAAAAAAAACGCTTGAAATTGTAAGCGAGTTAAGCAATGGAGTTTGTTCCGTTTTCAAAAACTGGTACTTAGGCTGAGAAAACTTGAATGTACTAAAAAAGAATACAAAAACTACTCTGCAAAAATTAGAAAAAGAAGAAAATTTTTTTATGCGTAATTCACTTATTTTCTACGCGTTCGTTTAATTTTCGCATCACAACACGCACAATAAAACGGAACTTGTGATCTAGAAACTACATTTTTTGTAGATTTTTATGTGGTAGGAAAATAACGTGCTACTTGCACAAGAGCGGGCTATCCTTGTTTCTCATTGAAATATCGGAATTTGCTTTCGGATAATTTCCCATTGTTTCTGAATATCAGTTTATCAGTTCAAATTTTTCGAAAAGACGGCAAATTTCACTGTCGAACAAAAAAAAGCAAAATTATGAATGCCTTCTATTTTGAAAGTTGACTTAACGTTCAGATTTCACAGCGGAATATAAAGAAAACCCAGTGATCCAATTTCCTCAAATCTAGTTTTATTATTAAAAGCGTCAATCATAAATTGTTCTGAAATTAGAAGAGCTTAAAGGACAATACTTTTTTCTTCGAATTTCGAAAATTAGCATTTTTTTGTTCTCTTGCGTCCATTGATGATTTCCCACGTGTCGGTTGCCCATGTTTATCAATTCGTTACCACGTAAGTTAGCTCTTCATATGGAATTAATTCACCACAAGCTTCTCAAATGATTATGTCAACATATTTCGCACGTGAAAAATGATCGGCGGATTCAATTGATTTTTGTTTACGTATGCTCTTTAGTCAATGCGATCAAACTTATTAGCTCTTAGGTTAAAGAGAAAGATGTCGAGAAAAAATTCGAATGAAATACATTCCGAGAAAAGCATCAAAAACTTCGAATGAAATATATTTAGAGGAAAACATGTCTTTAGTCAATTCGCCCAAACTCATTACGTGAAAAATGAAAAAAAAAAAACCAAAAAAATTTGATCTCTCAAAATGTTCATAACTTCTATTGAAACAGTTGAAAAAATTATATCCTAATCTTTCAATTAAATACATTCTAAAAAGCACGCTGAGAAAGCATTGATTAAAAAATAACTAAACCTATAATATTAGGGTGGACGCTCAGTGCATCATAAATAAGCCGAAACTATTTAGCTATTATACTCAATATTTAAAAAAAAACCAAATCGTAAATAATTTTGTTCCACAAAATCAGAGTTGATGTAATTAGTATCAAGTTGAAAAACAACATTTTTCCAATAGTCAGATATTTGAAACTCAAACATACTCAAAATATGAAATTCAAACATGCTCACCAAAAGAAAAACAGATCATGGCTGTTAGCGAATCTTTGCGCTAACGTCCATTCTTGGACAAGGATTTTTTAGCAAAAAAAATTATAGTGGGAATTTATCTGTCGACCAAAATTACGCTGAAACAAATAGTTTAAAAAAAACACTACCTACATAGAAAAATTCATTTTGTTCATTGAAACACAAGATTTTGTTGAGAAAAACATAAGGAACGGTGTAAACACTTTTAGTAGAGTAGCTTCAAGTTGCAAACGAACCTACTGAAAACAAATGAACAATAATTCCCGTAGGTGCAGCAGTTTCCATTGAATTTTTTGCATGAAGGTGCAGCAGTTTCTATTGAATTTTTTGCATGATTTTTGCTTAAAATGGAACCAAAGTCAAACTGCAAAAAATCAAATTTTAGCGTAAACAACTATTAAGAATTTTCCCGAAAAACAAACAAATCTTCAAGACCTATAAAAAAGTATTCACTACGTTCATGACTAAAAATATTTGAATTTTCAATCGGCATTGTTTCTGGGTCGCACGCTATTTCTTGGCTTTTTGGTCAACCTACACACCTGATACATTTGCAAATTTCAACACAGAGGCGAAGTTGCACTTCGCATACACAAGCAAAAATATGACCGATAACGGTACTGGGAATAACTGAATGAGTAAAACTTTGAGTCTACAAAATTTCTTAAGTGACGCACGCCAATTATGAGTCTACATAATTGCTAAGTGATGCAAGCCAATTATAACGCATTAACAGTACCAGTTAATTTGAAAAAAAAAAGAAATTTGCCACCTAACATGCCTCAATTTAGAGTGCCGACGCATTTTAACCAGTATACGAAAAAGTTCATTTAAAACGTCCGACCCTGCTCAGGTTCGAATCCTCTAATTCGATCCCAGGTTCGAACCCTCTGCGGGTCTCCTTACCTACCTCTACGCTACAGATCCATGATACCTTGAAGCTTAAGTGCTATTTGTAATATAATAGTCTGTGTTAATATCCTTAGCATTACCTATACTTAATAGCTGGCTATTGGGCTAATGCACATACTGCAATAAAAGAACACTTTCAAAATAAACACTAATATTTGCGACTGAGGTTGGAAAAAAAGAGAGTCCATACTATCACACAAGCTTTGCTTGTGTAGTAACCGAGAAAATTAGAGAAACATATGATCTGTTGCGAAAAACATAAGAAATAAAAGTTAATTGTATATTCAAATACTGAATTAATTTAGACAAGATCTAATTTATATTTTCTTTAAATTATCAATTTTCGTCAGTAAGCTTCAAAGACTATTCATTCTGATGTAGTCACAGTAATTTCAGTCACTGTCCAAAAATTCAAGAGCAAAATTTCAACTGATGAAAAACAAAATTCTGTAACTTTTGTTTGAATAAGAGTCCCTGAAACGAATGATTTGCGCCGAATAACTGACAATGAAGGTGTAACGTTGCTATATACATAACACGTTCTGGTAGCAACAATTCCTTCTCAAAAGCCAAACTTCGTATTCGTAACACAGCACAAGAAAATAGTACATCAACCTCAAGCTTTCTGACTTTTGCTACGACCTGTTTTCAATTTTTTCAATGGGAACAGCTTCAGACTGAGACGATTATGATTGAAAAGAAACTCCACAATACATTGGCGTAATTCTAATCAATAAGTTTACCCGTAAATGAGAAAATAGTTCATTACCAACACTTGAAATACAACAATAACTCAAAGGAGAGCAACATTTCAGGAATATCTATGATTAAATAAATATGAATAAATTTTATCGGAACGAAAACTAGAATAGTAAGATCACAGTTGTTATCACAATAGTTTGAAATATAAACAAAATTGAGACGCATATCATCATAACGAACTAAAAGTCTTGCACTTATCAGTCGCAACTTTTGGTGCTAGAAGAAAATAAACACGTAGTTAAGAAGAATTGAGTATTTCAAATTTGTACAATAAATTTATCCTCGAATTTGACTTCATTAGTCAAATCAAGGGAATTTTCTATAAATTTCAATAAATTTGATAAACTTTTCTCTAAATCTGGCAAATTCAAATTAAAGTATCGCTAAGTTACAACAAAAAGGGACAATACAACCCATAAAGCTTCTCTTGATCAAATCAAATCCGCTTTCAAGATGCATTTTAACTCAAATAATCTTGATATTCGATGTCATAACAAGCCTACAGTTTTACAGGGAGTCAGCAAACTTCTGCAAAGTCTCGCCTGAATTCAAAGAGCCCGCTTGGTGTAAGTTATTTGGCGCCGCGTTGCCAGACGAGTTAGGATTGGGACCAACTGATGTCCCATTTACAAAAGAGTTCCCCGAAACTTGGGGGTTTTGGTTCATGGACTGAGGTGCACTTCCCAGATATTTCTGCTGGTGTTGGGAGGCATCGCCTCCAGGTCCCATTGGTTGTCCCGAAGGTCCATGAGAAGCACCGGTTTGCTGCATCATCATCATACTAGCTGGAACTTGGGCGCGCATTCCTACCATTGAGGGGTGCATCTGCATTCGGGAGGGGTGTTGGCCAGTTCCGCCTGCCATTCCCGGTCTCCAGGCCTGAGGATGTCCACCAGCAAATTGTGGACCCCCGTAGGCATTGCTCATTATCATCTGGGAAGCATGGACAGGGTGTCCTCCTACAATATTCATCCCTGGCATGGGGCCACGCATCATGGTGCCTCGCATAGGATGACCTAAACGAATTACATATTTTAACAGCTGGGCGAAGCGGTGTAATAAATCACTGTAAATAAGTGTCTTCACTTCGTTGATTGACACTGAATAAAATCGTTTGACTTTTTACTCAACTTACCCATTTGCATTTGGGCCATCTGCATTTGGCCATTGGGTGTCTGGTAATACATAGCTCCGCTGCTCGTTGCCCTCATCATTCCCTGATGTGGTGACATCATCATCATTTGTTGTCCATGGGGTCCATAAGAGGACACTACAGGGCCATTCATGTACATTGCGCCCCCATTGGGTCCTGATGTGTCCATCGCCCCGGGATGGTTAGAGTGGTGGTACATCATGGAGTGGTCCTGTATGGCGCCGGCAGCTGCGGCCATGGACTGAAGAGGGGGAGCCATTGAAGGGGAGTTGGTTTGCTGCTGGTGCTGATATGACGGAAGAGAACCAATGGAGGAGATGGGAATAGGATTGTAGGGCATACCAGATGTGGGACCTGTGACAGAACTGGCGCCGCCTCCTCCTGCCATTGGTCCATAGACACTCATCTGCGTGGAAGATTGCATGGCAGCCATCGTTTTTGCCTTAACATAGCATAAAATAGACAACAGACAGTTATTTTATTTTCAAAAATTGATCATAGTTGGCATCTTTTTTGTAAAGTTATGCCATTTAGAGAAAACTGGATCAAAAGTAATTTTTTGGGCCATTTATCAAAATAGAAGTCGATCACGTTTCTCGTGACCTTTCCATTCTTGCTGTTTGATACTTTTAAAAAGGAAATGAGCTTAACTTTTAAAGAAATCTATGGACCAACTTTTCCTGAACAAAACCTATATCAGTGACTAACACTTCATTCTTTACCTAATAAACAGAATATAAGATTATTTACTGCCATCCAAATTTTTTCTCCATAAACTTAGGATACCCTTTTGACAGTGGTCCAATTATAACTCCCATTCTACATCTAGCAATTAGGGAACCTATGGAAACGCTGTGTCCTCATAGGCTAAGATAATTTTTTAATTTATGAAGCGAACTTACTCTCTGGGCAGCTTCTAGAGCCCCTGGCGGAGGGTTGCTGTTGCCGGTTTGAAGAGGTTGACTCGGTCTCGATAGACCTATAGATGCGGAAGACGCTATAGAAGCGTCTGAAGACGCCGTTGGCTGTTGACAGTTTGCTGGCCCGTTTTGCGCGGAGTTTTGTTGCAGCGATTGATCTTTCACAGAAATAGGACTGGGAGCATAGGGTGTGCGGGGCTGGGAATTCAGATAGCCGTTGTTATTGCTCACTGGTGAATTAGCGCCGCTCGGTCCAGTTGGAGTAGATGGCGCGTTGTTGCTGGTACTGCTATTCGTTCTTTGCATCATCATTGCCATTCGTCGTCGCAGCATTAAGTCTTGCCTACTGTTTCTGCGCCTTATGTCTTGACAATATGGCACTGAGCAAGGCTGCGTTCCTTTGTTGCACGTCTCTGCGTGCTTGATGAACATCTTGAACAGGTTAGTGCACTGGGGACAGCTATGGTTTGTTTTACTTGTACCCCCACTTGTTTTCTGCTGACTGTTCCTCTGTGAACAGGTCTTCATGTGAGACAAAAGCTTCTTGAACTGTCCACATTGCGGAGGGTTCATACAGTTCGCATTCCTGCATGTAGTAGCGTGCACCATTACTTTGATGTACTGGTTCATCATCTCCGCCTTTGATGTCCCGGCAGACTTTCCGGTCGCAGATCCCTGGGAACCATCTGCCTTTGCATTTTGGCCATCTTTCTTCGAATCTGGGCACAGTGAGTTTCCGGCAGTGTGTAGTTCGTGCAACATGCACATAGTTGAGTATCTGGCTCGTCGTAGAGACGAGAACTCCCAGTATTTCTCGCGTGACATGTGGAGAAAAGAGTCGCGCCCTTCCATCATTTCATAGTGTACATCAGGATCCGGGTCCTGGATTCCTTTCCTGGTTTGGTTTTCCGACTTCGAGGCTACTGTCGGTGACCTTTCGCAGTCTGAACCATTTTCGGGATCTTGCTTGAATGTCTGCAGCTTTATTGTGAAGAAACTATCACGACACGAGTTCATGTTTTGTATGACCTTTTCTGTTAAGTCTAGAGTAGCTTGCTTTCGTTGTTTGTGTCGACTACTTGAGTTTCCACTCCATTTTTTGCTTTTCTTTCTCTGCGGCTGCTTCTGCGATTTGTCGGTCGAATTGTTATTTGTACTGGAGACATTGTCTGCAGTCATATTTGAAGGGGGCGTGGAAGCAACTTCATCTACGTTTTGGGGATTTGGGGTTCCACACGATTGTTGCTGCAAAAAAATATCGATTTCAAGTAACAGCAACTAAATCATTTTCAATTCCTTCAACCCTATTTGCTTGCTTAAGAAGCGTTTCAGTTGAAAACCGTTAAACTCTCTTTTCTGAAAACAAGAAGCTATTCGGGACTGAATTAGTTTTTTGTTGCTCAGAAGCAACAATTATTAGAGTTGTGTATAATGGGTAGTGAGTATAAATGTATGACACGATGAACAGACTATACTTACCATGTGATCAGCTGAGGGAGGATTGGCGCCGACGTCTCCTTCCTGGGCTCCAGGGGTCATGGCGGGGTCACTCTCCACACTATGGATCTCTTCTTCGATCGTGCCCACCCCATTCGTACCACCTATGCTATTAGCCGAAGAAGTGGAACAGTTGCTATTGTTGGCTGTGGCCTTGTCGCCCACTTGCGTGATCAGGTCCTCCAGAACCTTCGGCCAGTAGTCACCCTCAAAGTAGGGCAGCTGTGTTGCCGACGTGAACCCGTTTGGGTTTGCGTCTTCACATGCCCTTTGCACATCTCTGTAGTTCTCAATGCTGCCCTCGTCCTGTGCTAGATCCAACATTTGCTTGTACCAGTCCTGCAGTCTTTTAGGCTTCGGTGTTTTCTGTTCAATCGGGTGACAGTGGAATATGTAGTCGTCTCCCTCGCCCGGAGGACATGCCCATATATGGGCGTAGTCGTATCCGAGTTGCTTGCAGTAGTCGAAGTAAGCGATGAGGATGCGGTGGTATAAAGCTGTCCTCAGCCTGCGCGGCTCGAAGAAAAAGACACTGTCCAAGTAGGATAGATACACCCGTCTAAACAAAAGCACACTCATTATTGACGAGTCCAAAGCCTTTCCGCACACAGTTTGTGGATATCCGTGTTGACAACACTTGTCATCAGCTCATTACATATCAAAAAAACTCAAAAAACCTAATAAACGCAAGGCAACGAAGTAAACAACTGATTTTAAAAGACTTTTACAAGTGTCTACGCAAATTAGTGTGATTGCTAACTATCCGAGAATATTAAGCTGTATCGATTTTCTTTTGGTATTCAGTCATTTTTTGACCTTTTTTCGTCATTTTTTAGACAATTTTATACTCAAAAATAGTAGCCAGTTACTGTGCAAGTAGCAGCGAACTATCTGACCACTGTTTTCTTGACAAAAAAACAGTGGTCAATATTTCAGTGATTATAAACATTGGTTTCAACACTTTTGAAATTTTGTGACAGAAGTTTCTGTCACAAAATATTTTGTAACAGAAGTTTCTACAACAAGCAAACATTAGCTTTTTAAAAATCTTTGACACAGAAAATATTAGGTTCATTGTCGAAGTGGATAAAGACTCTTTCTTTAAATTCGACTAAAATGCAAAAAACGTGGAAATTTTTCGATATTGATTTAATCAAGACTGAACTAGCTTTGATATAGTTGATCACTCGATGACATCTGAAGACTATTTGTGGCACTTGATTTTGCGTAGAAAAAAGAACAAAAACACGTCCGAATGCCAAGTTCCTCCTCACTTGGTGAATAAATTTCAGCAAGACCTAACCACCTAGCAAATTAACACCTTTTCGCAGAGCTATCTTTTTCCAAAAAAAAATATAGAAACTAAAAATGCCAAAACCATTTAACTGATTTTTTTTTCAAATTACCAGACTGTTTTTTTTCAAATTTTGTTCAATTTAGTATACTTGTCCCAACGTTGAAAAAATTAAAATTTTGCGTATGGACATTGAATTGAACCGAAACCATTTAACTGATTTTTTTTTTCAAATTACAAGACTGTTTTTTTTCAAATTTTGTTCAATTTAGTATACTTGCCCCAACATTGAAAAAATTAAAATTTCGCGTATGGATATTGAATTGAACCGAAACCATTTAACTGATTTTTTTTTTCAAATTACAAGACTGTTTTTTTTCAAATTTTGTTCAATTTAGTATACTTGCCCCAACTTTAAAAAAAATTAAAAATTTTGCGTATAAACGTTGAATTCAAATCATTTAGCATTCCTCAAATCAATTTGATGATTTTTGCGCCAGTTTCTTTTCTACCTACGCTACGCATTAAAAAAAATAGAAACTTTGCACAAACTATTTAAAACTGGCTAAAATTTCCAGGCACTTTTCCTAACCCTCACCCGCCTTAAAATCCCAACCACCCCTCCCTCTCTTCTCCACGCTTACGAATTTTTACGACTAATTGTAGCATAAAAATGAAATTTCAGCAGACCAACCTATTACAACTGACGCATCTCTGATTGACTGGCGTAAAAAGACGCTTAGTTTGAAACGAAACAATAATATTTTCAAACACAGAAGCATCCCAATTAGCGGCGAGCAATGATTCACACGCACAACACCACTCGTGTCGAATGTAAGCGCAACGGAGCAAGCGGTGGCTACTTGCCAATACTTCATTTGTAGTTAGCGTTTTGATTTTCTGATTGTTATGAGCCTGCTAAAATATCGGTCTGCTAAAACCAGCCTGCTGAAAAACCTATCACCCGATAAAACAGATGAAACTACTGCTGTACGCTTCAAAACTTAAATAGAGGTGCTTCTAATTCAAGAGATTTACGAATAGGTGTTACTGTTTTCCCTAAAACACAAGACGTTTGAAATTGTTGAAACCAAACTTAATTTTGCCAATAAAATTCTCAATTGAGAGCAAAATCAGGTAGGCACATTGCTAATATCTCACAAATGTGTAAACAGAGGCAAAACTAAAATAGAGGTGCTTCTAATTCAAGAGATGTACGAATAGGTGTTACTGTTTTCCCTAAAACACAAGACGTTTGAAATTGTTGAAACCAAACTTAATTTTGCCAATAAAATTCTCAATTGAGATCAAAATCAGGTAGGCACATTGCTACTATCTCACAAATGTGTAAACAGAGGCAAAGCTGATCTTCGGACCACTTCCGATAAAAAACAAGAAAACCGCTAAGTCGAAAAAAATCGAAAACGCAAGTAATAATTTGGAATATAACAAACTGAAGGCATCCACACTAACTTAGCATTTAACAAAACGCAAATCATAAAGGCACATAGGTATAAACTGAAATCGAGTTTTCATTATTGTTATTTTGTTTTAAATAAATCACTTTATTCGGTTCATTTGATGAATTAAAAATGCATCAACTATGTTAACTTATTACTATTCGAATGTCAAAGCACATGCTATGAAAAAGCTGTAAAGAAGCCCCAAACGTGGCACCAATAATTGCGACTTAGATTGGGAAAAAAAGAAGGTTCGTTCTAATATACTCGCTTCGCAAGTGCTCATATTCTTTAAAAATCATTCCGAAAAAAAACGAGCCTCGCGATGAAAAATAACTTTTTTCTATACAAAGCTCAATTGCCAAAATAGAAAAACAGGCAATTGCAAAAGTTTTGACGAACCAAATGAGAAAAAAAAACAAAAATAAACTTTTTCAAATTGTCCAACAGCCAAACTTCAAAGTAATTTTCAACTTAAAGCTCTTCTATCTTCAAGAATCGTTTATGTTTGCCACTTTTAAGATTAAAACTATCCCAATTGAGAAAAATGGACCAGTAGGTATTTTTTTATTACGTTGCAAAACCTGAAAATTGACATCTCGGTTTGAACCTTAAAGTCATTTATGTTTCTTCGCTTGCCATTTCGACTTTTTATTGAAGACCGTAAGTTGCCTTCCTTTTAGCAAATTCATTTGAATTGAACTCAAAAATAAATCAAAAGTCAAATCGCTAAAATAAAATTAACACGACCTATGTAAAGTGTTATCACTCCGTTGATTGACACTTATACAGGATCTCGATAAGTGAATATTAATCATATCATGGGCATTTGATAAGTATCTTTTAAGATCATAGTTCTCCATACCTTGTGTTGGGCTGTGGACAATCAGAGCCATACTCTTGTACGGTCATTCCGAAGATACATACATCTCTGTTATCTACTTGGGTGAAGGCAAACAAGGCTTTGTTTCTGTAGGGAAACTGCTTGGGGTAGTCGGGAAAACGGGACTGCATTTTTGGCTGCACCTCCGCCATTTTAGTTGAACAACTCAGTACCCGAATTGAGACGTGCGGGCAGTCATTCGGTTTAAGGAATTTATTTACACTTCGCTCAATAAACGATGCCATCTTGTTCGTAGGTAGACGACTAGCAGCATACTTGGACAACTCTTGTGTCTGATTTAGGGTAAATCCAGAGCCAACGCCTTGCACTCTAAGACACGTAGGGCAGTGGAAATCTGGCGCCATAGCCGGCTGATACATAGCGCAGATCACATGCCAATGCCGGCCGCAGCCTGTGCATTTCACGAACTTCTCCGACTCGACGCTGTTATTCGTAACTTGCTCGAAAGCAGTTTTGTGCACGTTGAGGACTTGCGCGCCAGGCACTCCTGGTTCGTCAGAAACTGGGAACTCATCGCAGTCAATTCCAGTGGAGGTTTCATTGAAACACTTGTTACAATAGATGTACTTCTCACTGAGGATACCGGTCTTAGGCGACGTGTTCGTCCAGACATAGTACTTGGCGTCCCTAGGAATATGGCACAGCTTCTGGTAACAGTAGATTGGGATGGGGCTGAAGGTGAGATGTTGTCCGCAGCAGAAGCCCAGACTACGCATTGCTTCGTCAATCTTCTCGTAAAAAATTTCACTGAGCTGAAACACAAAAATGATCCGTCAATTAGGATGGATGTTCGGACCTTTCTGTTCAAAATTCGAGGTAACCCTTTCATTATGGTGCACGGTGTTATGGTGCACGGTATTGATTACACCTTCTTGGCTATCTCTGCTGTCAGTGAGTTGTTATACTGAAACTCTTGTATCGAAAACAAAGTTTTCCTAGATTTACTTTAGCGTTGAGGCGATACTAATTTACGGTTCAAAATTTCTCTAAATTCCAATTTTCCACAATTGACTGAAACCTAATTTCCTGTTATCATGAAAATGAATTATGCTAACTCAGATGGAAGCTTTTTTAAAACGCTAAAACTAGTTTTTACAACAGTTAAAACTTGTTTTACAACAGCTAAAACTTGCCAAGTACACGTCTGATTTCCCAAATTAGCTTCTCACCCTTGTCGTGCTTTTGTAGATCTTGGTTGCCTTCCTGTTGTACAGCCATGCATTTGCAAACATGAGCTGCATGTGCGATATGAATCCCCAAGGATCCTCGCAGTACTTCTCTTCATCAAACATGTTCTTCCTGATGGTCGAGATGTCCATCGGTTCCTTCACCACCTCCGGGTAGTCTGTCAGACCCAGACTCTTGTAATCCACAGGAACTCGAAATGGTTCGCTTTCCGGAACCCCAATTATATGCTGCAGAACCGGCCACAATGATTGTCGTATTTCGTCAATAGTGAATCGTTTTATAACTCCGGGTAAAGACTGCTTGCATTCGGATTTCAATTCGGAAGACCCGTCGGGCTCCTTTTTAATGTCATTTGAAGGAGAGTCTGAAGTTGTCGTTTGAGCCGGCGATTTCTTTTCACAAGCGTCCTTAGATTCGCTCGAAGATTCTGTTTTCACGTTAGAATCCTGAAAAATGACCGTCGGTAACAATTCAATGTAACCACAGAGGGGACACGGAGTTCCGTACCACTTGCAATACAATACAAGAAAGCCGCAAAGCCGAAAAAAATCGAGCAAGTCGAAAAAATTAGATCCATCAAATGAATATAACTAGTTTTGAAAAAATCTTGTCAAGACAACAGAATGTAAAATTAGCATCGGAAGAAAACTAACCAAGCGGTAACAAAGCCAAAAATGACAGTTGAATAAGAGTCATGACGCAGGGAAACAGAAAAAAAAACGTACTTGCTTTTTGAAGAAAAAAAATCTCAGCCTTTAAATTTCGAAGAAAAAAACAGATGGCCTCTACAACAATTGATGCTTGACAAATAAAATTGACCCAATTTGAGAAAACTGGATCAAAAGGCAAAACTTTTATTTCGCTGGAAAACGTGAAAACTGATCCACATTGTAAACTAGTAATCGATCACATTTTTTGTGACTTGTACACTTTTGCTTGTTCGATAGTGGAGTTTGTCGTCTTTTCAACTTAGGAAATGAAGTGAACTTAAGAAACAATCAAAACAAAAACAACACCCGAAATGTTCAAATGTTTATTTCAAACCAAAACTCATCTTGATGAAAACCTGTGGCAGAAAACAACAGCCAATAATGATCTTGCTTGAAAAACTTGAAGTGCGCTACACATTGCGCTACAATATAGTCAATGGAAATCAGGAGTAAAAAAATTCAGACAAATGAAGTTGAAATCACTCGAAAAAGTTTGAAAACTACAGCTACAAAAACTTCATGGTTGTATCGGATGACGTTTATAAACAGCTTTAGAAAAATTGGAAATCATTCACCGAGCGGCAACAAATGCGACAAACTTTGAGTCGAAACCTAATGAGCCGAAAACAATACTGTTGTCATAAAAAAATTCATGAAAAAAGTTTAAAAGTTTTTACGACATCTACACTAATCAAAAAAATCCTATACGAATATATTATGCCCTCGAAATTATGCAATATAATATGACTAGGCCGAAATAACAATCTGCTTAAATAATTTTTAAAAAAACATAGCCAGCTGACAGTGTGAAAAGAGTAATGAACGCAAAGAAACATAAAATCTTTTGAATTTCGAAAAAAATAGATAGCCTTAAAGCTCGTTGAATTTGTAGAACAATTTATGATGGACACTTTTTGTTAAAATTAATCCAATTTGAGAAAACTGGATCAATATGTAAAACTTTTATTTCGCTTGGATATCTGATAATTCATTTCAATTTTCGAAATTAGAAGTTGATCACGTTTTTCGTGACGTCTACAATTTGGCTGTTCGATTGTGGAGTTTGCCTTTCTTTTAAGAAAAGAAATGTACTGAATATAAAAAGAAATCATAAGTCAAACCGCGAAAAATCAAAACCGAGCGTGAACAAATTTCCTGAAGACTTTTTCCTGAAAAAAAAAAAACAAAACAAAAAAAGACCTGTATAAGAGCACTCGCCACGTTCATTACTCTTAAAAAAGATGAAAAAAATAACGGAAAATTAGACTTGGTAAATTTACAAATTACTGAATTTTCAGTTGTAGTAAACAAAACTGTTCAAATTGGAAAAAACCTATGATTTAAAAAGTGAACCAAATACCCCACAGGATAAAAAATGTGTTTAGAAAAACCGGAAAATAAACCGACAGAAACTAGGGCAAAAACCACGAACCCGAAAAAAATTTAAGAAATTGTTTTTTGAAAAATTAATTACAACCTGAAACAGTCTTTGCCTAATCACTTCTTAAATGATGATAGTTGTAGTTGAATTTCTTGAAATTGAGCATGTCAGATGTGAAATTTACATTTCCTACTGAAATTACCAATCTGTGAACAAAGTTGTTTACGGGGGAAAGTGTAGTATCGGATAGCAATAACCTTGCTCATCGCAAGGGTAATAAATAGTAAACACATTTTTAGTCTCACCATAGGCTCCTCTTTGATTCTAGGGGCAGATTCTTTTGCCTGGGTTGTGTCCATAGGCTCGTCCTAAAATATATAGTAGTTGTTGAAATCTGTCGGCTTCAAAAAATTTCATATTATGTATTCACAAAAGCAGGTTGGATAGTGGTCAAACAATTTACTTGCAACTTTCACAAAAAAATTTCAAATTTTTACAGAACATTAACTGCGATGAATTCTTCTATGTTCATTTAAGAATCGAACTGAGAGTCCATTTGGATATTTAGAAACAATCTTTAACCAATATACTTTTTTTACATAATTGAGATCCGATATTGAACAAATATATTCACTGGCTGCACTACACAACGAATGAACTTGATGTCAATCGAAGTAATACATATTTTCCGCACTAGTAACTTCCGAAGGGCAACCAAGCGAATGTCGTTCTTACCTTAATGGGTTCGTTCTTTACAGCTGCGTTTTCATTTGAATCTTCGCCGCCATGCGACTCCTGGACACTGTTTAAACTGCTATTTGTACTCGCATCATGAGCGAAGGAATTGCTTACGGATGAAGAGAGAGATGAGTTGGAGCTACTAGTCACTTGTGTGTTATTATTTATAACTAGTGACGAAGAAGAGGAGGAGGAGGAAGAGGCTGTGATTGGTTGGTCGAGTGAATGAGAGGCACTAGATGAGTCCGCCGACGGGACATGAGAGGAGTTAGTTGTCGCAGTGAAGGAGGTGGAGCACAAGGTTGCCGAAGTTGTGGACACCAGAGGTCCCCGAGACGAGGAGTCTCGACTGTTGTTCAACAGCGAAGACAGAATGGAACCATTCGAGCTCACGCCCACATCTTTGTTGCCCATGTGATTCTAAACACATCAAAACTAAATTGAAATGGAATAATTGCAATAAACATTTTCTCGGTAGGCGAAAATTCAGAGTCAGCCGCTAATTCACATTTAACTAGACCAATATAGGTCATTAATAAGAGAGTACATCGGAGCGGAGTGGAAATTATTGGAAGGAACAAAATCATGTACTCTCTGAAAGAGGTACCGTTTCTAGCATAATATTGCAAAATTTCCTTTTTTAAATGTTACCGAGGGTAAACTGCAGTTTGAATCATTTGTCATCAATGCATTTGCTGGAGCACTAGAGGTGCAATTACTGCCTCCCGTAGAAGATAGTGAGTTTCCCAGACTGTGGTTGGCTGGGGGGAACTGGGTCGTCTGTTGTTTGTTCTGCAACTCTTCCATCCGCTTCTGGAACTCGTAGCTCTTCCTGGCCATCATCTCGAAGTACTGGTCCTTGTCGGTGGCCTCATAGTACACTTCCACTTCTACTTGTCTCGTCAGATCAATCACCTGCAAAGGCGGCTTAGATTCATCGTCACTTTACAAGCATAGACTTGAGCCTACTTCAACAGGCGTTTTGTTTAATACGCTGATTTTTTCAATACCATTAAACTCAAAGCCATGAAATTATGAGGAATTTTGGAATTTTAAAAAAACCTTGTGATTCTTTGAACATTGCTTCCAATAAAATCAATTCTCTAGCTTCGATAGCTTAACTTCGTACCTAGCAGTTTGATGAATTGGAAAAAAAATCGAATTTTAATTTCGGATAGAAGATGAGGCATTTATCTTATGAAAAAAAAACCGAATATCACAAAGAGCAAAGTACACAAATATACAATATGAATATTAGCTGGAACTTCTAAACTCTCTTTCTCTATCTTTAAAAATAATTCCTCCAAAAGCAGAAAATTTCAAATAACGCTTGCTACTCGCAAGCGTAAAGATGGCGGAAACCTTTAACCGCTCCCGATGTCAAACAAAGACCTTAAATCCTAGCAAAAAAGTTTTTAATTAACACAACACTCATCAAGCTTCTCCCCAAAGCCGACCATCAATTTGATTTCCACCGAGGCATTCAATAACCACGGAACTTTCTATTCTCGAATTTTTTTAAATTAATGATGGTTATAACAAAAAGCGCCGTCTATTAGAACAATTGTAGCCCCACTAGGCCAATCGAAAACTATCGACAATCTACCCTCCTGGATCTCCATCAAGGCACCAGAATACCAGAAAACTTCTATCAAAGTTCTAAACCAAGTTACACCTGCTTTTACCTCTAGGTCTTGTTTTTTTTTTAATCAGTAAAAATCCGTAGGCTTTTTTCTTGAGCCGAAAGTGAAAATGGCCTTCTTCCCAAGAAACACCAGTAAAATGTCTGCGTGGACTCGTCTCGTCCCTAAACTTCGCTGATCATTGCAAGCGATCATCTGAAAAAGCGCGCGCAGTATACGGAGTAACACATTAAAATAACTCGAAGAGATTCAAAGTGCTCTCTCTGCGAGAAAAAAGGTCGCATAAAAATAAGCGCTACAGAAAAAGTAATCTCAAGATGTTAAATTTTAACCATCTACCATCATCATCACTCACTGGCTTCGCAATTTGCTTTCAAAACTTATTTTCTATCTTCTGCCCTACATTTTTACCATCGTCACCCAGAAGCGTCCTGTTAACTTTTTCTTCATTACTACAGCAATACCATCTCCAAAATATAAAGTATCATAACCGAAACAAATAATCGTACGACCTTCAGTAACTTTAATGAATTAAGCTATTACTTTCAAACCATTTCAAGGGTCTTCAACAAAAATATCTGCCCACAAATAGGCAAAGGCAGGCCTTTGTAGATGCATCACATCCTAGATTCTTTTATCTTAGACCCCCTGATATCTCACCCTCTGAAAAATCCCATCCCTGTCTCACTAGCACAACCTGCTCCCAGTAGAGATGCCGGAAGAAACATCAAACATAAGATGGCACGCCAGCCATCATAAAAGAAGAAAGCCGCAAAGTCGATTTTTTTTGAGAAAACCTCGGAAAAGTCTACCATATTTTTCTACCTTGTCTTGATTTGCACAACTTCATTTAATGAAAAAAAAACCTAAACTGTCTGCCTAAGAACTGCTTGCTAGTGCTGAATAAGCATCGAAACAAAATTTACGTAGCGGTAACTAAGACGACAAAAGTTGAGCTGGCAACAGTTGGGCCGAAAAAAAATGTCTAAAAACACTGAGCTACCAATACTTCGAAAATGGAATTTCTAAGTCCCAAAAAAAATCACACAAAGCAAAAATGCTGCTACAAACAGCAAAATATCTACCTTTTTTGATTTCTTGCAAGGAAGCAACTTTTTTTGGGAGCACATAAAGCAGAAAAATGAAAAAGCCACAACCAACAATGTAGTCATATTTAGAAAAAAAAATTCGTATATTGACCCAATCAGAGTTAACCGACTGATTCAAAAGATTTCAAAAATTATGAGTCTGAAAAAGTTCCATCAGATAACGCTTGCTAATCACAACCGTATCCAAAAATTTTTTGTAATAGTTTTGATTCTTTTGAAGTTCATTTCGAGGGAAAAGATGTTGAGAAAGACAACTGTCAGCAGTAAGTTCGCATTGCCGTTAATGATCAGCATTGAAACAAAATTTTAAAGAGGCGCAGCTGCTATTCGCTCAAAAAAACGGCTATAAAAAACAAAGACTTTTTTCCACATCCACCTCCCCATCTTTCAATTTTGAAAAACTACTATAAAGTTGACATAATGCAATGAAAATTGGCATAGTGAACACGCTAACCATTGTGAACAGATTTAGATCGTAACATGACGCATTTAGCCATAATAAAAGGTAAAAACCACAATTCAATTAGATATTCTTGAAGAGGGGAGGCTGCAAAGGGGCCTAAGAGAAACAAGAAAATAGAAGGTAAAAATCAGCCTTGACACACAGGCCAAGCTGCAACTTTACTAAGACAAGCGAAAAAATGTGAGAAAAATGGTTCGAAAAAAATGAAAAATCTGTTATGAGCCAGAATCGAAGCTCCGACCTGGACAATATAGTCACACGCCCTACCAAATGCGCCATGGGGGCTAAATATTTTTAAACACAAGCCACCAATTAACCAAATACAAAGATATAATGCTATGCAGCAAAAACAAAGCATCCATACAATGTTATTGCAACAAAAAGGCCACCAAATAAATGAGCACATTGAATTGGGTGAAAAAAGAGGATATAAAACCACCAACCTAGAGATGAGTCTCAACAAAATCGATATAAGCTGACACCATTAAAGCCTAAGAAACCTTTAACGCAAAAAGAAAAGCCTGAAACAAAAAAAAATTTAGAACCTGTACATTTTAGATATGGTACGCTTCAAAGTTTAAATTAGCTGATCTATCAAGGAAAGTGCTTGCTGCTGGAGCTGAGCCGACAAAATTATGATAAATACAACATGCCTCTCACGAAGCCGACACAATTATTGCAACTGCAGTATGCCACTCACATACAGCAAATAAGTCTTCGAACAATGTTATGTTTGTGAAAAAGTAGAAAAAATGGGCATTTACTTTTAATTCTGAAAAATTGAATTTTTTCATGTCTTTTAAAGAGGGTCGGAGAAATTGATTTCAATCTATCTAAAATAAATTGTCAGAGGTAAGTCAATTTCAACTCAGATGTAGGCAGTGCAATAGTAAAATTACGGTAGAAAACATGACCATTCTGTTAACAACGTTATTAATGGGAAAAAAACTATAATCCGGTTGCAACACCCTTACTGATCTCAAATGCAACATCTAAATACCAGTCGTGAGAAATCAATAACTCCTTGAGAAAATAGGTTTTATGTGATGAGGTTAAATGTACCTGACGTGCTTGATCGTCGTTGGCCAATAGGCAGCCCTGTGGGTTTGCAGAAGAGTCGTTTGATGGAATGATGGCGCTGACCATGTTGGCGATGCACGAGAGACGAGTCTTGTTGTTTAGCTCAAAGCGAGGATTCTTTCTACCTGCTCCATTGTCACTCCTCTTCAAAGGCTCATCAGACATGATCCAGTCTCTTAATTTCTTCTTTAGGTCACTGGAGGTACTAAAGCATTGTTAACAATTAATTTTTATCAAATCCGTCAAGCTTCCAAAAAATTATCTACATCGCTGTAGACAAACATGGTTAAATGTTTACATAATTCGCTAATATCTTACCTAATATTATTCTGCGTGGAAGCAGCAGCAAAAGCTAAAACAACATCAACTTGAGTAGATAATTTACAGAACGATAATGGAATATTACATTTCTGACAATTGGGCCACTTACCCGGTCTGTTTCTCCTGACTGGCTCACAGTAAATACAAGACATGTTTTTGCAATTAGAGTAATGCTCCTTCGCCCATCTCAGTCCTTGACAAGATGGCACATTGCAGAACCTACTATTAGCGCACATCTGCAAGTGCTGCAGAATCATTCGGCTCTGTGCGCAGTGCGGAACTTTGCACGCTGGTCTGGAATTATTAGCATTTTTCATTATGCAGACGTTCGAGTGGCAGAAAAAGAATATGAGCTGTTGGCGGGTCAAAATGTCTTTCTGAGAGCTGCTCGGTTCCACGGGAGGAGTAAAAGTCCTGTTAGCGCCCACTGAATTCTGATGGTAAGATGCCGTGCCTGGATTCATTGGCATGTATTGCGACGCTGATGTGTTCGCAGATGAAATATTAAACGCTAGGTTTGAATTCTGTGGACCATTTGTTTGGTACATGTTTCCAGTAGCTGGGTTAGGTATAAATTGCTGAAAACAGAATATAAATTATCAACATACTTTGTTTGGTAGATGATACTTAATAAGGGGTGGAAATTAATATTTTTTTTTCACAAAAGCTTTTGCTTAAGTTAAGAATTAAATTAAACATTTTTGAGTGTGAGAGTACGTCGAAGCCCTTTTAATCCTGATTTTGAGTCCCAAAAGCAGAATAAGCAACGGGTGACTTATAAAAAGTAAATCTCCAAAACTGGAAGTGCAGACAAAAGCATTGCAAGCTTTCCAGAAATGTTCATTTTAATTTTTGAACACCTATTCAGCAAGACAGAAATTGCTTCTTGCATCTTTTAGCTTTAGATTTGTTTCGAATTTACTGTTCATGATCGGATCTAATCAACCTTGTTAATGTTGAAGTTCACATTTGCAGCTGGTATTTGAGATTGCAGCCCGGATGTTTGCATGTTAGTCATCACCACTGAGACCTGTCCTCCTTGAGATGAAAATCCCAAGTTTGTGTTGCCAGAAAATACACCATTCATAGACACATTGCTAGTCACTGAAGGTTGGGGCGTCGAAGAATTTCCTGTAATTAAATCACAATCAAAAACCAAAGAAAACCGACATACCTGTTGAAATTTTGGTTTATCGGTTTCGCAAACTTCTTTTATTGATCCGACTTTCGATACGAAAGTAACGGAATATTTGTGCTCGTGGTGGGTTTTTTTTTCTTCAGACAAATTTCGACTTTTTAACTATTTCGACAAATTTCGAATTTTTTTATATCATTCGCAAGCTATTGTCTTGAGCTTAAATTTGAAAAGATATTTCACCTGTGATTATTTTTTGTAAAGTTATGACGGTTTAAAGATTGCCATATTGGACATTTTTGACCAGTTTGGGACAATTAACGCGCGATATAATTCCCGCTATTAACGCGTAAGCGGAGATTTAATCCGTCTTATAAATCGTTCCAAATTAGTTGAACGAAGCCTATTTGCCATAATTGATTTGTTACAAGTAACAAAATCTCTCTTTTTGTACTTTATATGGCGTGTGGGGGGATGATTTTCATTAAAAAAAAATTTCAAATTTTAGTTAAAAAAAATTTTCATTTTATTTTATTTCTTTTAATTTTTATGTTATTACTGCTGCTCCATAAACCTTAAAAGGCAGTCGGAACATTCAGGGCTTCGCCCTGATACGAGCAGTCTTGTTGGAATTATTAGTCTTTAATAAGAATACGAGAGCCAGAGCCAACTTGGAGGTCTTCAGGATTTAAAACTTCTCGATTGTTACTATATATGTCATTATTTGTATCGTATACTTATTTCATAGTTTTATAATCTTACTTTAACAACGATAGCTGCGCTAAGAATATTCCGACTACACTGATTTAAGAAAATAAATTCAACAAAGGCGAAACGCAGCTTCGCATCACTTGCGAGCAGCTTCGCATCACTTGCGATACATCGCAAACAAAGGATGGCAAGCTAGTTGACAAAAAATGACTGAAGTCACCAAATGACCAAAGAACTACATCTCACACAAATTTCATTTCATTATTTGCCTCAATGAAAATCACTCCGAGGAAAGCATGTCATAAAAGCCAACCATCAGCATAAAATGGGGATAAGTAAAAGTTTACCAAGTGGTAACTAAGCCGAGAATTTTGATGTCATTAAAAGTTGAACTATAACAAATTTGAATGAACATCAATTTTAGAAGAAAAATATATTATCATGAAGATATATTTCTGCTCTGCAAACGATGCAGTACTAGACAACTAGGCCGACATAATGTGAGCCGAAATCTGGTAAGCCGAACACACAAATTAATTATAATATTTAAAAAACAAGAAAAGCGAAAAAGTACATATACAAAGTGTGAGTTGGGACAACAATATAAACAAGGAAACGATTTCTGTGGAAGTAGCACAAAAAGTTTCGATCGAAATAAGAAACCAAAAAAATTAAGATTGCGTCGTTTGTGGCAACGAGAGGATCTAAACCAAAGCCTTGAAAAATTGACATTAAAGTTTCTTCATTGCAGGGTCGGATCTAGGATTTTCTCGAGGGGGGGGGGGGGGGGGGGGGGACGAATTTTCAAAAAACTTTCGAAAATTTTGTCGACCTTTTTTTAGGTCGACCAAATTGTGATTTTTCGAGCTCTCCCAGCACTGTTATGTCCCTATTTTGGCCAAATTTTCTGTGCCGCAGGCAAAATGTTGAAAAAATAGGCCAAAAACGTGTTTAGGCACTTTTTGGAAAATTTTGACCAAAAAATTGCGTTTTTTCGGCGCGCACTCCCCCCTCAAAATTAGTATATATTGGCGCCAAAGGCGCCTTTAGAAAAATTTTAAGGTTGGTCGGCCAAAACTGGATTTCTTAAAAGTACCAAAGGGGGGTCGGCAGGGGGTCGAATCCCTGAGGGGGCATCGCCCCCCCCCCGCAAAATCCGCCCCTGCTTCATTGTGTGGTCCCTGCAAGTGGGGAGAAGCTCGGAAAGCAAACTTCGCACAAAGGCGGATGGAAGGCTGCCGCGGCAGCAACACGAGGAACCAACCGACTTTCCTTTTCAAAGCAACGGGTTAAGCCGACCCCGATAGAAAATCTCAGGCGGTCTCATGAAGTTATGATGCTGGCATCATGGCGCCGGATTCTGAATGCTGATGCAGGTAATCCCGCCCAAATGGCTCAGCTGCTCTTAAAGGCGGGGGACAGAGAAAATAAACCCGGACCACAGCCGACAGTAAGTACCAAATATGCAAATAGCAGATGAATGACAAAAACCCAACCAGCCTATGGTGCCAAAGGCGGATGGGTGCATTTGAAGTGCGCTATCCAGAAAAACACAAAGAGCACAACTATAATTTCGTATGCGATTGGTGTGTGGTCCCCCAGAAAGAACAAAAAAACAAAAGAAAGCAAGAAAATTGACAGTAAAAAAAAACAAATTGGAAAACACATTTAGTGCCATAAAGACATCCAGAGAAAAAGAGTGTCCTTTCCGAGAAGAAACCGATTTTCAGAAATCCTAAAACCACTGGAAAATCGGATGCAGAGGTGATCTTCTCAGAGTACAACGTGCCCACATCAGGAAAGAAATGGGTCAAGGCCAACAATTCATAAGGCGTCTTCATCCATGAAAAAAAGCCTTCCCACGAGACAATCGATCAAGAAACTGGAGAGAACAAGGGGAAACAAGAATGTGCAGGACCACTACACTTCGGTGGGAAAAAATGGAGTAATCAAACACTGAGAAAATTAATCCCCTCAGCTAGACAGAAAACCAGAGCAAACATTTTCCCGCGACTTTAAGAAAGCTATCGAAAATGAAATAAAAGCGTAGCAGATTGGATCGAGGTAGCCAGGACAAACCGTAAGGTAGGAATGGACATCTGTGGAGAGAAAACAAAGAGAAACCTCAGTCCTTGAGTACACGTGGAAACATGAGTTTCGAGGAAAGTATTGAGAGAGCCACCAAGTGGATTGAAGAAGCAATAACGAAAGAAAAAGTTCAAGAGAAAAGGAAAGAGATAAGGAAGTGTAACAATGGGAGCATGAATGGTAGATGAGATTAGTAACCCAGTGCAAAGAAGCAGAGTATATAAAAGTTGCCAGAAAAAAATATACACAAAATGCTCAAGGGGTAAGAGATTTGCAAAACGTCGAAGAACACCGATTGAATTCAGGGAAATCTTCGCACAAGTATCCCACGCCCGGTACGAACGAAGCATCGATGAAATAATGGTAACGGCAAATACAACAACGATTAGAAAAGACAGGAAAGTTTTGACCAAAAATCCGCGTGTTTTGGGCACGTTCACACGTCAAGTTTGTATAAACCGGCGCCTTAAGAAGCTGGATGTCGTACAAATAAACAAACTGGCGGACTTTTTGGATTGTGAAGAGGTCGAATCTCTGAAGGAAGGCGAGCACCCCTCCTCCAAAAAATCCTATTCGTCAAGTATGAGTTGTTGCAATAGCAAAAACAACGTTATAATTATAGAAGAATAAAATTTGGATGTCAGCCTCAGATCAAGTTGTCTAATTTAAACTGTAAACCCAAAAATGCTGTTACCAATTTTCTCGACATACAACTTTTTTGAAGCTCCTTTCAGAATCGGAATAGCGGTTGAAAAGGCTTTATTATGAGGCAATCAAAGCCTGCTCAAAAAAAAGACAACGCCTTAGTCCGTCCCCACTTCGCGAAGTGGTGGGATCTATAAATCCCAGAAACTCAATACCAAGATTTAAAAACTAATAAGCGACAAGGGTTCCGAATGAATACCGTTTGCTAATTACGAGCACAATTATTGCATACGTAATAATTCAATGCACATTAAATAACGGGCAAATAAATTGAAAAAATTAAAAACTATTTTTTTAATATAAATTTGTATTAAAAAATTTAAAAAAAAAACTTAAATTCCGCAAAAACATCTTGAAACTCAATTACCTCCACCGACGGGGCTTTAAAATGGCATTCAGGAATAAGGCAACGAAAATATACACACGGAAGATGGTTGATTGATTTTGATTTTAATATGAAGCAAGATAAAACATCTGCGAAATCTTTAACAGGTAGTTCACGGGGAAAAAACCTAGCAGCCGGTTGCAACACCCTTGCTTATCGCAAAGGTGAAAAAAGAACTTCTGAACACTGAACAAAAACCTGCAAGCCATGAAAACATTTAACTCTAATAGCCTTGAAAAAAATCGAATGACATCATGAAACTGTTAACGTTTTCATTGAAACTTTTTAAATCAAACTAACCTCCTGATTGATATCCACTTTCATCCGTAGCTGTTGAGGATGTAGAAAGGGCAGTCATCGAATTGGGAGAACTTAACTTTTCACTATCAACCGAGTTGATATTAAACGAAATGGTGGTTGAGAATTGTTGTCGATTATGAGGGTCAGATTCATCCGTAGGTGTCGCTGCATTTGAAGAACCTTTTAGATTGATTTTCTTTCCTTCTGAAAACTTGTCGTTGAATTCGTCTGAAACAAATTTTGTTTGAAAAATCAAATTACTTCGAAACAGTCAGCAAACTCAGAAAACTACTTACTACTAATTAACTTTGGCCTTTTGCTGTGAGGACCAGCAAAACCGTCGGTCGCGTAAGGATCCTCGGTCATCTATTTGAATAATCAGAAAACTTTCATACACAATTATTTCGATTTGGTGAAATATATCTGATAACAAATACTCTTACCATGCGCATCTAAAAAATCACTGAACAGCAACATACGTAGCGCTGTAAATCTGAATCATTCGTCACCTGAAAAGGTTTCAGCATAATAAATTTGAGAATTCCCAACTCGTTTTCACTTCTCCATCTGGTTGAGTAACATACCGACGGAAAGTAAAGCTAGATACTGAAACGATTGGCTAGCGTCTAAATAGAGTTTTACGTTCTTTTGACCGTCTCTGCCATAGCCAAATCAACGTGGTTTTTATCACATCGGGTCGACAAAGTCATTACTGCGTAAAAGCTATCGGCCACGCAAACTTACTTCACTTACAAAAAAAACATTGAGCTCATGGCTGGGTCTCCTATTCCTTCAACTTCTATTTCCTCATGAACTGAAATTGAATTTGATTGTTATTAAAAACAAATGCACATTTGGGAAAGCTAAAAATTGTTAAATATGAGTTTTGCAGCAAGCTCCGTCTTCACTATAATAACAGGAATAAAATCCGAGGGTTCGCTAAAACCCAGCAATTGCAGTATTCAGTATAGTTTTCAGTTATAAGTGCAGGTTTCTTCAGGTCTCTACAGTTGTTGCATTCGCCTTAAATGCACCATGTGCATGTATCTGATTCGTTGTGACGAGTTTTGAACAACTTCCTGTACATTTTTAGAAGTCTGTTTTTCCATTGTGCGTCATACAATATGTCACATTTGAAGTATTCGTTGTACAGATTAGCAAGACGACATGCCCAAAATCAGAAATCCGTCTCGCACTTCTTCAGACGCATTCAATTGCAGACGAAAATTCGTGTCATTTGAGCTCTTCGGTTTCCAACGTCAGTGATGCTTACCAGGCATTTCGGGACCCGACATTTTTCAAACCCGAAACCCGATAAGCTAAAACCCGAACCCGACGGTTTCTTCAAACCCGAACCCGAACCCGACATTCATTTCAAACCCGAAACCCGGCCCGAAACCCGAAAAAGATCTCAAAACCCGATTACCCGACCCGATACCCGACATGCCCGATTTTCAGGTAGATTAAATGGTATGAACGTTGACGCAATAAATTTGATGCGTTTTTAGATGCGCAATAAAGTCGGTTTTAGAAATCCGACATAATTGAATACCCGAACCCGAACCCGAAAATTTGATGCGCAATAAAGTCGGGTTTTAGAAATCCGACATAATTGAATACCCGAACCCGAAAATTTGTTGAACCCGAAACCCGACCCGAAACCCGAAATTTGTCTCAAAACCCGAAAACCCGACCCGATACCCGAAAACCCGAACCCGAACCCGAAATGCCTGATGCTTACATAGCTTCTCCAGTCGATGTCAACTTTTACAACAAGTATTTTTGCAAAAAGCAGTCCAACATGAAGCTCTTGGTATAGACACAAATGAAGGAATATAAGTTTTACGAGTTTGTCTTTAGAGGAGAAATGGCTATTCCTTGTCATGAAATTCCACGAGATCGCTTTCCGCAGCACACTTTCTATGATTCCTAAGTCACTTTTTAATGATTTCCAGATAACTGAACCGTAGCTCATAACTCGTACAACGTAACAGATATATGCGTTTTTTCTGGTCGCGAAATTTGCTTCTCAGAGATTCGTTTTGAGTACGAAGAGAGCTTCCTGCGTTCCTTTTTTACATGTTGCGTCCAAGAGAGCGTGCCGGTTATCAGGATGCCCAGATCTTTCATTACTTTAGTGGTTTCGAAACTGATCCTTTGATACAGAAGATTTTTCTTTTGGTCAGGTTCATTGAAATGCAGTTTTCCTCGCACCACCTCCAAAGTCTTGTAACATCTCCAATTTTGTAGTCGTCTGCATAGCAAATGTTGGGGCATTACACAGTATGGTAGATCATTTATGAAGACTAGGTAAAAAAGCGGCCCGAGTATAGAGCCCCGGGGAACGCCGCTGAAGAATCCCAGCTCTCCGAAAATTGTGTCATTCAGTCTCACTGACTGCTTCCGGTTCGAGGGGTAGCTGTGTATCAGAGATAAATAATTTCCTCCAATTCCAGAACTCAATAATTTCTCAATTAGCACTCCGTGCGAGACATTTTCAAATGCCTTTTGAATGTCCAAGTAGAAATTGTTCAGGTAGATGCAGCTGGCAAATCTAGGCAGCTAAATATCTCGTGTAGATACTCTTTTAGCTTTGTTATTGTCGATCGCTTATGTCTAAAACTGTGTTGGTCTGGTGTTAGTGTTGGGTACACCATTGGGGCCAGGTTCCCATATATTAGTTTCTCAAGCAGTTTTGACACTGCTGAGAGCAGGTTGATTGGTCTGTAATTTGATACGTCTTGTGAAACTCCGTCTTTGAAAGTTGGTGCGATTTCGCTGATCGTCCATGTTGTTGGAAATAACGATTTATTTGCAAGCAAATTGAACAGTAAGTGAAGTGATGTTGATAGTGACTTTGAGAGGTTTTACAGAAGAGCAATACCAATCTTGTCCGGTCCATTGGCCTTATTTACGTCCAGCTCATTTACAGCATCTTCTATTTATCGATGTTGAAATTGATACTGTTCAGAAGAACGTTATCTTGTCGTTCTGTTTTCCAACGTTGGCGTTTCGTGTGAAAACTGATAGAAAATATATGTTAAACAATTCATTTTTTTGAGCGTCTATATTAGCTATTTTTTGATCTTGGAAGATCTCTGAAGAGACAGTGTTATTTGGAGGAGACAGTGTTAGCTTAGTTTGCAGATTTTCATTTTTGCATTCGTTCGATGCGGTACAATTCCGATGATTTTTCACTTGACTTGTATTTAATCTCTTGATTAGGTTGGAGGAATCGCTTCCCAACCAAAGATGTAACATTGGCCCAGAAGTACATACCGACGGAAAATAAAGCTAGGTTCTAAAACGACTGGCTATTGTCTAAACACAGCCCTAAATGCTTTTCACCGCCTCCGCCAAAGCCAGTTCTTTTGGTGGTCTTTTTAGCATCGGGTCGAAAAAAAACGTTACTGTTTTCGGCTTCGACCAGAACGCTCTAATTAACTTAATTATAAACAAAAATAGTGAGCTAATGGCTGGGTCTCAGTATCCCCAGACCTCGAGGTCACTCCTAAAAACAGGGCTACTACTTATTTATCATATTACTATTCTTTTTTTTTCAGTAGATAAAAATCATCATCTCCATCGAAGATGGACCAACCCTTTCCCTTAACTCCTATCTCCTCATGATCTGAAAAAGAAGTTAGATGTTAATTGAATTCAACTCAGGACATCTCCAGGAAGCTAAAAGTTTATAAAACACAGTTTGAGTTCTCCTCCCGAGACCCCTCCAGATTCTGGAATCCGGGGGAAATAACGTCCTTACTTCTTTCAAGAAGGCTGGACACGCCGTCCCATCACCCTTCCCTGTTCTAGGGGTTCGCTTTGTAACGATTGTAGCGGCACAATCATTAAAACTTGGAATGGTTTTCGTAAATTTTTCTTCAATTTCGATCAGTATCACACAATTTTCGTTTACTGCTTTTCTTCACGAATTCTCTTGTTCTTCTGTTTTCTCTTCGCAACTTTCAGTTGGCGCGAAATTTTGACGTTGTCACGTGTCTTTCCTTCGAACGACTTTTTAAATTTAACATGAAAGTCCAAATTAACTCTGCCGCGTTTGTCAAAATGAACGATTAAGACCACTAATTTGTTAAAACCGTTAATCTTCCCACTCCGATGTCACAATAAAATTTAGGATTCCGACGTTGCATTTTCGTACCTTCTGGTCGAATGTCACATACTCCCCGGACAGTGCGGTCAATGTCCTCATTGAGTCCCGTAGTCTTCATCAAAATGGTACCACCGAACAGAATTTACAAAATGCATGAAATCACTTTTATCCACGTCATATCGACTCACTGCAAAATACCAAATGGCATCATACTACACTTTTCTGGCCTTCCAAATTCTTTCACTAATCTGCACCTTCGAGGATATGACTTAAGATACAACATTTTTTCCGACTTCTAATGTCTATGTTCTCCTAGGTTTAAAAAGTGTTGGGACGCAGGACGGTCCTGCCAACCAACAAACTAAAATGATCCTACTATGCTTCTTTCCTTCGGAAATTTAGTTGTTATTGGTCCTGAATATTAAAATTAAGGATCTCGGTGGCTAGAAGGAACAATGAAACAATGTCCCTCTTCATGAGATTACCCAAGCCTTTCATATCACCACAAATTGGTCAGTCGTCTTAGTTGATTAAAAACAATCATGCAGGCTGGAAAATTTAATATACTCTCCACTCAAGCCTTACTAAATAAATAGTTAGTGTCTCTAGAGCCACTAACTAAAACTACAATGCAAATTTATATATGCAACAAATTCTTTAAGCTTCAAAAATCAACTAAATGTTTTCTCTTCAGTTTCAATTGGAAACTTAGTTGCTTTGTCTCTCAATTGATTTTTTCTCACTTAAACAATTCTGAGTTTAAACATCTTCTCCTTCGTTGCTTCTTTGTTTCTTTCTTTGTTTTCGTCGTTTAGAAGTTCTATAACTTCTAAATTCTTCTTTTTTTTTTCTTCTTTTTGCATCTTGTTTTTCGGCTATTTGTCAATGTTCCATCTTCTCCTCCTGCGACATTGACTTCGCACTTTCAGTCTCAGTGTCTTGCAAAACATCGGTAGCTATTCTGACGCTGTTGAAGGCAGTCTTCCAACACTTTTGCTCTTCTACTCTTTGTTTGCAAGAAGGTAGAGGATCAACGTTAGTCTCCCTGTTTGGGCCGAAGCTATTGTGGAGGCACAACGTCACTTTTCTCTCAAAGTCTTCCATCAACATTTCTTCTCTTTCTCTTCCGTCACATTCACTTGTCCTAGAAGTCCTCTTCACTGCGGTGGTTACTGCATTCCGATGAGTTACAAAAGCTCGCTTGAAAGCTCCTGCCCCAATGTCCAGCTGATACGCACTGTACACTCTGCTGTGTTTCGACATATGCTTCTTGGCATATTCGTACAACCATGCAGTCATGTTGGCTCTGAACCATGGCATCAGTCATCTCCTGGCCCAAATTTTTTTCGCTTCCATCTGTATGTTCAGGATTTTGCACGTTGTCTCAAAAAGATCTA